GGCGTTCGGCTGGATCGACAAGTTTTCCCTGCATCGCTTCGACCTATGACCTTGAAACTTTCCTTCATTGTACTAAACATCAGTAGACGTTCCTGTTTCGCATGTCATTAATAAACTCCTTCTAGATATTCTTTGAGGGCGATAAGTACGACCCTTCCGATCCCATTTAAATTGGGATGTTTGACGAGTTTTCTCTGCGAACATTCAACCTACGACCTTGAAACTAACAAATTACATGAAACACTAATACGAGTATGATTACCAACTTTCATGAAGATCGCTCAACTCCTTCTTGGTGTGACATTTTTTTTGGGCGATAAGTGTATATGATGCAATAATAATACGAAAATTGAAGACCCCAACCGATTCCATCTGCAGGCGACCCTTCGACTGGGCCGAGGTCGTAAGAAGGACGAGCGGGAGCGACGAGTGGAGGAACTCTTGAGGGAGCTGAGCCTCCTGGACTGCGCCTCCACCCTCATCGGGTCGCCTGGGAGGCTGAAGGGCATCTCCGGAGGCGAGAAGAAGCGGCTCGCCTTCGCGTCCGAGGTCAAAATGGCTTTATTTCTTTCTAAGCATTTTTTTTTATTGACCTGCGAGTACCGCGTCAGTCGCTAGGTGTCGCGAGCGAGTCCCGGTGTTCGTAGTTGAAATTATGCCTGAAGTTAAAGTATTCTGCTCGGAATGCAATAACAATCGAGATCTTTCGTGACCCTAGGCTACTAGAGAGAAATGTGTGAGTATTCTCGAGTCCCTCGTTCCAAAGATTTCAGGTCCCGATGACGATTGTCCCACGGTCCCTGGTAAGCCTGCCCACCAGAGGGCATTCGGGAAGTGCGCTCTTTGTCGTCTGGGAATCGATCCTAGGGGAGAAATCGGATTCGAGTCGGCGGGGACCTCGGGTCGGGAGGGGTTAAGTCACGGTCTAGACTCTAGACCGTGACTTGACCCGACTGTCTAGACTCTAGACGGTTGAGACAGCTAGCGTCGGCTCCTTTGAACTCACTGTGGCCCGCTAGTGCCATCTGGTGGCTGTGCGGTGGCAACTTTTGTCATGTGAATATGGCGCTTTCCTTGGTATCCATGAGGATATTTGTTGAACGACCGAATTCTCTTTTCTCTTGCCATTCCTCTCAGATGAATGAATGGGATCGACGGCAGAACTTGGCCAAATGTAGAGAGCCACAGAGAGCCACAGAGAGTTGGTCCTTGCTTCTTTCCCGTTCTTAGCCTCTAACTTTTGCATAAAGGAATTCTATGAAATTTCATTCGGCGACAAATACTTCGTTGAAAATTCGTTGAAAGACGAACCCGTAGGGCATATAGGTGTGAAAGTATTTGCCACGAATACGAACGCATGATGAAGACAAAGATTCACAAGAAGTTTTCTACTTTTCAAAGCGAGAATTTTCACGTTTTTCTGCTTTTCTCGAAGATTCTCACCTTCGCAACAAAAAAAAAATAATAATAAATTTCGGAAAGGTTGCAAACTGCAGCTTCTGGTAGACAACAGGAAAAGGCACGGTAGCCGCCATCATCACGTGGTGTTTAACGACACAACCAAGCCGGCAGATGGCAGTCCGATCGACTCGGTCCCACGCATCCTCCGAGGCATCCAGACTGAACATTTTTAGATTGTGGCTAAGCCGTCGACCATCCAGACCGCGAACCCGTTCGCGACTGCTGGTTCTTCGTTTGTTGAAAAGTTCAACGCCTCGTTTGATGAGGGCTCGATGAGGGAGGAATCAATTGTCGAATGAGTCGGCTGTGATAGGGGCTGTCGGATCAGAAATGCACTTTTCATTGTGTTGTCCTTGAGTTTCTTTTCATCTTAATTGGCGATGGGTGCTTTTCCAATGATCCCACGAGATTATATCGGGTAATCAGCGACACACCCGTGTCGTTGCGACAATAACGTCATCTTCGTGATTAATTTTTTATTTTCAGCTCACTAATTACAGATCGTAATCATCAGGTGATCACCGACCCCCCGCTCCTCTTCTGCGACGAGCCGACGACCGGCCTCGACAGCCACAACGCGGTCCGCGTGACCCGGCTCCTCAAGGCCCTGGCCGAGCGGGGGAAGACCGTCCTCTGCACCGTGCACCAGCCGAACTCGGAGCTCTTCGGGATGTTCGATCAGCTGATGCTCGTTGCAGAGGGGAGGATTGCGTTCCAGGGGT